TCTCTGGATTCAGGCTGTCATTATATGTTAACGGATGAAAGGAAGCAAAATCATTGCGAATTGATATCTTACGATAACACAAAAGCACTTATGAATTTGCATTAGATTGATAGAACATTTGTCATTTAAGGATGTTTTGAGCTCTGCAGAAGAATCTTGGTACCCAGCAAAAGCCCTACAATATAACAGGATTTAAGTCTGTGAATGCCTTTGGGGCAAGTTGTCAATTTGAGCTATGACAAAAAGATGATGCAGAAAACAGAGGAAAAAGAAAAGAGGTTACATGAATAGTGAGCCAATGCCATTCTGCACTTCTACATTTTGGCTCAACTAGCTCAAAACAGTCATGACTTTCTTTTTGGCATATCAGAAAAGGTGAGTTGAAAAGTGAACAAGATGCATATTAATAATGCATTGAATTAATACAAAAATATTTTGAGGATACATAGTCAATAACATGCATTCTATTCACCTTAAACTTGAATCTAAATCCAAGCTAGACTCAATGTTTAGCATGAGTTACAGTTGCAGCGAAAACATTAGTGGAATAAATGGCACTGGAACAGAAAAGGAAATACTGTTCACAGCAGAGCAGGTTATTTAATTTACAGAATATAGTTAATGAAATTAAATACTATCTGTCCAGTTATATTTTAAACAACAATGTTCACTTGTGCTGTTAGAAAGACGGTGGAATCCTGGCCTCAATGCATTTATATTTGACAAGGTGTATAACTAGAATGAGTCCAAATGTATTGATTTATCTCCATTGAAATCTAGAAGGAAGGATAAAACTGATAATCATGGCTTGTATATGATGGATTCAGTAAAGTGACAACAGTTGGCATGTGCAATGCAAGATGATGAAAGTACCATGTTTCATTAGTTTTATCAGTGTGTAATGGGATTTGTAGCTAGGATAAAACTGGAAGTTTTGCATCTGCATTGACCAGGTGGGAAAGACAACACGAACGGGGTTTAAGTTGTACAGTGTAGGAAAATTATTAATTTATCTCTTCAAATGTGGGATGTAAAGTACTCTTCTTGACAAGTTGGGTTTAACGTTAATTCAAAAAGTTTGCTAATTTGGACAAATTTCATGCATAATATTTTTGATGTAGTTTCGTAGAGATCAATCATTTCAAATCTTATATCCACAAAGCTAACTAAAAGCTTTATTAGAATAGGTCTCCAAAAAGTCCAGAATCCTTATCAGCTACAAATGCTGCTTGGGACCTAACGGACCAGCAGTGAAGCTTCCAGACTTAAACACTTAGCAGAACACAGGATCGATGCCAGTTTAAGCATTTGCAGGGCAAGTCTGAGACCTGAAATAGCAGGTGTTATGAAGCAGTTAATAATAACACCGGTCAAGTGAGTTGGACTGGGCATTCAAGTTGAAGACTTTTTAAACAATAATTTTAACCTAGACGGGTTGAAAAGGAGTGTGGCAATTTTTTTTTGAGGGGAAGATGTGGTTTCAAGTTAGTAATGTTCTCCTGTTCTATTGTTATTTCATATTAAACATACAGAATGGAGTATGACAAATAGCTGTATCCTGTGAAAGCCTACGTAACCACCTACCCATTAACCTATGACACCAAAAGAACCAGTGGAAAATGATTTAAATCCACGTGTTTCATTAGCACTCAATCTTATAATGTACCGAAGAAAACTCCTCCTTTCCTATCAAGTAAGGTGCATACATTTCAACACACAAAAATACTGAGGAATTTCAGTAACAAATGTTGTGAATTTTACTTTTAATATTTGCAACAAAATCAAGAACCTTCACAAATAATTTGAATACTCTGTGAATTCTTCAAGATGCTTCTTCATTTACAAAAAGTATAATTTCTCAACTAACAGAATGTGGTGTTTGGGAAGATATTAAGCCAGATAGGCATAATTTATTCTGAGACAACGTAAAGGTGTAGTACGAACCCAAAGAAAATTGAATGTGTAGATTTATTGGTCCAATCCTGTAACAGAAAGCTACAATGTACTTAAACAGCACAAGTCATTAGAGGTAAAGAAAAGACACAAGAAATTTTTAATAATGCATTAGAAAATTATGACTTAAGAGTAGATGCTATGAATTACAACTGCCCAGCTGACACTAATTATAAATTGTGGGTTTGTGTCAAATAGGACACGATGGCAAGATGTACACAATGGTATAAAACTCCAAAGTAACTCAGTTTGACCTTTTGAAGATGGCAGCAGCAGTGAAGATGGCTCCATTAGGAGTCAAACCTTCTTCTCAGCTCCTCAACAAAAGCAGATGGAGCGCCTTTTAGCAAAACGAACCATGACTCCAAGTTTATAGATGAGCATCTGGGATGTTTCCTAACACAGTGTGTGGTACAATACAGTCAAATCTATCAAGTGCACAGGCCAATAATGAATGTGTTAGAAACCTGCATTGTATGCCTCTGGATGCAAGGACCCCTAGCCTCTCCAAAAAAAAAATGACTTGAGGTGTGAGGGGTCAATGGCATGTGTGCAAGATTAATGTTTAAGAATTTAAGGTTTTGAAAGCTCTTGAATTCTATAAAACAATGCCATAAATTTTTTAAAACTTTTATATCTATGAGACATAAGCACAATAGAATAATACAGGAGACTGTGCTAATAAATTGGGAAGGCACAGATCAAAAGCAACAAGCACATCTAGCTAATACATGGCAGGAATTCTGTTATGAATCACAAAACTGTTATGTTGTATATGCTCTCAAAGACAGGATCCCTTCTGACACTTTGTTTAAAAAATGTCAGGTTATTGGTTTTATTTCACAAGCTATTAATAACTATGTTTCATGTCATGTTGTTTTGCCAAGTACCTCAGGTAAAATTCTTTGAAAAGGTGAATAGTGTAAACACAAAACTAAAACTGTACACTTCTTTTTTAAAAAATGTTAAAATTGCACCGATTTCAACCATAAACTGGTTCAATTGCAATGGAATGTCTCAATAAAAATCAGTAATCAAACTGGAGAATATTAGGGTCAATCTCAGCTGGGCTGATGTTAGATTAAACGTTAATCACGGTTGGAGCTGCTGAAAGAGTTAATGAAAAGGGAACATGTGCTTTTATAGAAAAAAGGCTCCATTTCGAAAGTACTCATTGAAAGAAACAGGAATACTCAAAATACATTGCTATTACTATCACTGAATCCAAGGTAAATGTCACAGGTCAAACAAAACAATCTGTTGTATTACTGAAAAAATAGGTTACGTGTGACAAAGATTGCAGCTTTTTAGTTATTTTTGATGTATATATACACATATTTCATATTAATTACATCAAAATACATAAAAGGTTATTACATATTGCAAAAGCATTGCACGAACAATTACAGAGTAGAAATTATCACATTATTCTAAAATTGGAAAGCATACATAATGCTCTATTTCAATTGAGCCCAGGTTCCAATAAGATTACATTGCTTTTCAATTCAGTGAAAATTCAACAATATATTTTCTGATTATTGAGTTGACAAGCAAATATGCCCAAAACAATTCCTAAGAAACCTAATCACACCACTCACTGCTTCTGTAATCTGGTCCTTTCTCGTGATATTACAGTAGCTCGGAGCCACTTCCAACAATACTCTTAATCATTAAGGAACAGCAAGTGTGCTTTGTTATGTTTCATGTAATTGTTTTGTCATGCATCCAGTTGCTCACTGCCTCCTCATTTTCCCTTTAGTCCTTCCATCTAATAGTACAGCTATATCCATAAAATTATTTTAAGAGGTAAGGCAGGCACAAAATCACTTTACCACCGGACAGTAGGTTCGAGTGTAGTATGGCTAGTAAATTAACATATCACAAAGTGTGAATATAAGATTTGAAGAATCAAAGCTTCAGTAATTAAAATTAATGCAAATCAATGTGAAACCAATGTAACAATTAACACATGTAAATGAATAAGTTAGCACCATTTTTTATTTTTTGAAATACCAATATCATAGGAACTGCAATCACCTCCTCCTAATACTGGCTGATCTGTACCTGGACACCACATTTGTTGGTACCCTTGCTCAGTAATGATCTATCAAACTCAGTCTTGAAATTTTTAATCTCCCTCAGTAAGGGTTTGGGGATGGGGATGGGGTGGAATATAGGATTACAGATCTCTATCTTGAGTGAAATAAATGTTTTTTTGATTTCACTCCTTTGTGGCCTAATTATAATTTTCTGATTATAACTATATGTCTGGAACATCCTGCCAATGAAAACAGTTTCTCAATACCTACCCAATCGAATCCCTTTTCTATTTTAAACACCTTGATTAGAATATCTTCAACGCTAAACTGAAGGAATTACGAAGCTTATGTAACCCGTGCTCACAAATTAAAGCCTCAAGCCTTCGTATTACGATGTTGAATTGATAGTGTATCCACTCCAAGGCGAATATATCCTTCCTGAGGGGTAGTGCCCGAAACTAAATAGAATATTTCAGGAAGGATCTTACCAAAGCTTTGTGTAACAGAACCACAACTTCTTCCCTTTTGTATTCAATTCCCTGAAGATAAAGGGCAATACTTCCAGCGATCTTGGATACTTTTTGTCCCTTGTGCTTCAACCTTTAGAGATCTGAATACAATGACACCTAAATCTCGGTTTCTCGATAGCTTTTAATTTCTTGCTATTAAGAAAACATTTGGAGCATCCTATTGTTAAAGCAGCCAGTGTTGACACCATGAAATGGTTTCATTATATAGATTTCAAGAGCTGAATGGCAAGAGGAGATTGACTGTACTGCACACTGTTGAAGCAACAAATGATTATTCTACTTCTGTACTTCCGAGCCCTCTATTAGCCCAAGATTCAGTAATTCAGTACAGATGAGAAATCAAAGTTTGTATTGCTCAGTATCACACTGTGCAGTTAACATGAACCATGTGCTAACAAATGTTTCAAAGCTTACAAATATAAAAAAAAATCATGAAATTCTAAAAAAGTAACAAGCACAATGCTGAATGGAGACCAACCTAATTTGTCCTCTGACCAGGGGTCTGTTCTTCGTCCTGTTCATGTTCGAGTCAAATGGCACCTCAAAGAACTATTAGAAATTACAATGGAACAGTGTTAGACACTATCAATTTGATGAAGCAAATTCAAGTTTAACATAATGAAGAAAAACTTTCTGCCAAGATCAATCTTCAAAACACAACAGGAAGTCAAACCTAGAATTATACAGAATAAGTATGCAGAAAAAGCACCTTCACACTACAGAATATTTTCTCAAATTGTTTAGCCCATGTTTTAAGATTTAAATTGAAGACCACAAGAAAACCAAAATTATAATTTGCAGTACTGCAACCTAAATAAATGGTTTCTGAATATACTTACAATATAGTTTTGTAAAGTTAACTTACACCTTTTTACTTAAGTCAGAACATAATTAAAAGTAGTACAGAGAAGATTCACTTGTCTAAGCTCTGGGATGGAGGAGTTTTCTTTTGATGAAAGGTTGGGACTGCATATATTGGAGTCTAGAAGAAAGAGAGGTGATCTCATTGAAACATATAGATCCTGAAGCAAATGGATAGGGTGGATACTGAGAGGATATTCACTCATTTGAGAGAGACTAGAATTAGGTGATAAAAGTTTGAAAATAATGGGTCTCCCATTTATAACAGAACAAATGAGAGAGTCAATGGAATTCTCTTCCTCAGAGAACAGTGGAGGCAGAGTTATTGAATTTATTTAAGCTGAGCCAAAGGCTACATAGGATATATAGGAAAGTTGAGTTGAGGCCAAAATCAGATCTACTAACTTGTTATTGAATGGTGGGGCAGGTTGAGAGACTGAATGATGTCCTCCTGCTGCTAATTCATATGCTTGTAAATCTATCAGGAAATGCATCAACCATGATTACCTTTTGAAACAGAACTACACAGAAACAGAAATAACCAAAGATCTGTGATCAATAGTACATGGTGCTACACACAAGTGGATAGTTGAGAATAGTTGGAGAATTTCAACAACCATCGCCACCCAGTCATGTTGATGTTTCTCTTAATAAATGTATTTTCCTAAAGCAGAAAGTATCTTTATCAGCAGGTGGTTTGCATAAAATGAATAATCTCAACTCAAACCTCAGTCATAAATTGAGATGAAACTAAATAAAAGAACATACCATGTTGAGTAAAATATAGAGATCTAAACTCCTTAAATATTGAATTTCACCCATTGCTAAGTGATTGTATTTGCACAATGGTGTTATTTTCAATTGAAACTAGAATACAAGTAAATCACCGCAACAATTTTCATGAAACATTGTGAAATATACAGAGTGACTATATTAAACACATGCCTAATGCGTGCCAGTCCAGAACTGCTTTTGTATCATGAAAAGACTGATGACAGTGGCATCTATCCCCTGGTTTCATGAAGATAACTATACCTTTAAAAGAAACTTGCTACAATTTACCACGATCAGTGACCTGCCCAGCACTTGAGCTGCAGACAGTTGCGCAAAACATGAAAAGGACATAGAGTGTGGGTTCCAATTTTTAATTATGAATTGTTTCAAAGAAATTACACTGGCATAACGTACTGAATCTCCATCTTCCATGCGGCAAGATTCTATGACTATTTGGATTTCCTGGAATCCTTTGTTTTGATGAGAGAACAAAAAAAAACTACCAGAAACAATTATGTTCAAAAGTGCCAGCAGAATAAATTGGAACATTCTGCTAGTAACTGTGTTTAACTTTTTCACAATCCTTTCAAGATCTTTGTGGCAGGACAGGGGAGATTTACAAGAGGCATGCCACAATATATTTTTAAAAAAGGATCTCGAAAGGCAGTCTAAACTTGAATTCCAGACAAAGTTAATTGGATCATGTGCACTGGATATTCAATAGTTATAGATTATTCTATCTCACCGTACTCTTAATATCAGATTTAGCAGAAATTAAATGCTATCCTTGTTAACCAATAGACTGTTAAAATGATTCACTATGTATATTCAAGTTGGTTAGATCAAAACGGACTTTCTAAATGCAAGATTTCTTGAATGTAACTAAAATCTACTTTCTAGGAAGAGAGAACATACAGAAAGGTTCAGACATTTGAAAATATATAATGGTTAAAATGTGCTTCAGATGGCTGTTTTTGTTACTTCAAAGCCCAAATGGTAAAGAAAAATCCTCCACAAAAAGGCACTCATTGACAACTGACTCAGTCTACAAAACTGACTTAAGAGCTGTTGTGCAATGTATTTGTATGCAATTGACCCAGAACATTGCACAATTGCTGATTGGGTTGCTGCTACATTACTGACACCAGGTGCAAGACTACATAGTACTTTGTTTGAGTCAGTGCTGCAAGCCACACCTCCTAGCTGTTCTGTTTATGTCAGACAGCTAATGAATCAAAGTACTTCGATCACACATTGTTTTGGGTACAGCTAAAACAGAATTTTGTTCCTTTGAAGCCCCATTCAATGAAGAGGACTTTGAAGGTATCTTTTTAACTACAATCTTTCATGTTGGTGCTCCCAGAAGTTAATGTCTTGTTTCTTTCCCAATACTTTCTCCAATATGTCAATATCTGTTTGTTCGTCACATTCACTCAAATATCTACCCTGATTGTGGCTGAGTGGTGTGAAGGGATACCCTCAATAAGGATGAAAAATAAGAGTAACAGCTTAAGACAACTGAAAACTTGTGTTTCTTTGACAGAAAAGGTCCAAAAGATAAAAGGAATTTTGATAAACGAATCAAGCAAGAAGTTCTTGATCACTAAGTAATTATACAAGAGCAGAATTTCACAAAGGACAGCATAACAGACTTGTATAGTTTTAACTGCAAATAAAATACATCAGCATTCCATGAAAAAGCAAAATGCAAATAAAAGGGAGGATGATGGGACCCGTCAGCTACAACAATATTTCTTTTAACCTAGTTTTTGCTACTAATGGTACATGGCCATTAACATGCAAGTCTTTCATCATCAATACAATGTGGAACTTTGATTCCCTCACACTGACTCTTTTTTCCACTTGCAACATGCAAAGATTCTCAGTTAAATGAAAACAATTCAACATGAACAACTGTAATAGCGGTTTTCAAAATTTCGCTTCCACATAAATTAACATTCACGTGATCATATCTATAATTTTACAGAGTCAGATTATTTGACTGTTTAAATTATTTCTGGGATGCATGTAGAGTTTATTTACACAAGTCAATAAATAAGTGCACAGGAAGGTTATCTTGAAATTATGACCTAGGTATCTTAACAGCAGGAACTATGTGCTAATGGAAATGTACAATGGGGTTATTTGCTGTTCATTTATTCAAGTAACATTGCACTTGTCCTAACATGATGCACTATTGGAAGTCAATGTGCTTGTGTACTTAATGTCAGCAAACTCAGTGAACCCTGATATAATTATTAACCACTCATCTCCTGCTCTTCTTAAATCAGTAACAGTGGAACAAGAGATATCCAGTGGGCAGTCCAAACAAGGGGGCAATATTTAGATATGATCTTTCATCGAGAGAATAAGGTTAATAGATGCTAAATTTAAAACTACTTATTTTCCTGACAAATGAAACATTTTTATTTGAATAGTTTAATAGCACCAAATTTATCAGATTAAAACAACATGGTAAATTTGATTTGGTCTGCTTCTGAAATAGTCCAGCTGTATGGCATAGCAGAACTTTGTTGATTTAAATTAAGGCATGGAGGGGGGAGGGCAGCAGGTGCAAAAGCAGAAGGAAGATCAAAGGTTTAGACCACAGCAGTGGGGAAAACGACAGGTCAACAGTTAATATAGTGGAGAACTAATATGTTGTGCCATAAAGTGGGAATAAGTTTTATTCTCTTTTTCTAATCTTTCAACTTGTGGAAGTGCTTGCTCCTAATGTTAGACAGCGGAACAGCAGTATTAGCAGTGGCTCAGGAACCAGATGTATGCCCATACGCTTTGCTGCAGATATCTGCCCTGGAAAAAATCTCAGTCCCAAATAAAGGAATTTTCATTTTCTGTTGCTGTTAAGTGGAATTTTTCAATAAAAAATATGGCAACCGTCCAGTTTAAAACAGGTAAAACCGATATCACAGAATCTAATCAAAAGGATATGAAAGAGTCAACTGTACTAAAAATAAAAGTTACAAACTTCCTAAACAGGGTCAAAGAGAACCAGATAGCACTTGGAATATTTATGTTGTTGGTACTATACTTATGCAAGTTGTCACATGACAACATTCCACTATATACCATTATATGCAAAATCAATGCAAATTGTGCATCTGTTCTGGGATGATTAAATTACAATTTGACAAAAGTATTTCAAAATGAGCTTTACTTGCAATTTTAAAACAAATCAGTACTTCCACATGTGAAAAAAATCTTAAAACATTTTTGACTCCATGCAAACGAGCTGCAAGCTCTTATAGTTAAACAGCAAGAAGAAATAAAACATTTACTAATCCTTTTATGGGATTTTACATAATGGAGTATCAGAGACACAGCTAGACACAAATACATCCTCAAGACAAATGGCAAGGTGTAACACAACAGGGACACAACTTGTCTTTGGGTATATTTCTCTCTCAAGGAGTTCTGTATGCCAAACGTTTATCATGGGACAAAACTTTACATTGACACTGGCAATAACTAAATGTTAGGCGAATTTCTGGCGAGTTAATATTCATTTTTGTGTTTGGATATAATTATCAGTTCCTCTGTTAGGTGCCACTCTTCTAAATCAGTAGGCCATTGGTTCAGCATCATGAAGACACTTATTCACATAATCTACGATAATATTTCATCATAGCTTTGATAGTGTGCATTGTCAAAGGTGCTGTCATTTAGATGTGTGAAAACATTAAACTGAAGCTGTCTGCGATAACAAGGTGTAGAGCTGGATGAACACAGCAAGCCAAGCAGCATCAGAGGAGCAGGAAGGCTCCTGCTCCTCATGCTGCTTGGCCTCCTGTGTTCATCCAGCTCTACACCTTGTTATCTC